TGGAAACGGGAATACCTGCCACGGCTCACTGAGAGACAGCGCTGGAAAAGGGATCTGAGGCCAAACCCATCTCCAGAGGGTGATTTGGTCTTCGATTATCGACGACGACCAGCTACCGAGAGGCTATTGGGCTGCTTGGTCGAATTGTCCGCGGTTTACCGGAGAGCGATGAACGTATCCGCGCTGTCGAACGTTTAAACGCCCCCAACGTTACGCGAAGACCTTGTCGCCAAAGTGTCTGTGTTTTGGAAGAGGCGTAACTTTATTCCACACAAAATTGAAGGTGACAGACTTTCTCTATCCATGGTGGCTTATCCGCTTCGCAGGTGCTAATCTTCGGGATTCTGGGTTGAAGTGCTTCGCAACCTCATCACCCAAGGATTGGTGTCATATTCGTCGGCGAACTCTATTTGCGTAGGGATTAGCGGTCTAGTAGCCGTGATCATGCGCATAAAGGTACCGTGCGCCAGCGCGCACTATGGTTAAAGAACAGACGTTTGTGATTTCTACCGACATGCTACTTGCTTGAAGCATTGAGTTATTTCCCGGGCTGGTTGCTAATGCATAGGATTTCTGGTAAACTTTAATGCTGGTGGTTTGGCGACGTTCCGCTAGGGTTAATCTGATTAACCAACAAACAAAGTTTCTGGCAAAATTAGCCTATGCCGAGCCTTTCTTGAGAGTCAGTTTATGCTTCCAGCGTTCTGTGTGAACTTAGCTACCACGCAGGAGTACTGGGTAGATTTAGTTAAATTAATGTATGAAGAGATAACCCTTGTTTGGGTTGTGTTGGTCCAAGGCAGGACCTTTCAGTTTATTGGGTGTTTTTCTGCTATGTTTAAAGCCAGAAGTGTATAAACAAATTAGCCTTCTTCTTCAAGGGTTGTTGTCATAAAACGTGTTTTTTAATTTTTTAGACATTGTGTTAGACTCCGTCAGTGGGTGGGGTAATGTAGACTATCGTCCGAAGATTGTGTAATTCGGAGCAGATTGTCTCGGGGGCGGGGTTTACGAGCCTTTCCCGAGTTGTTGCCGATTCCGATAGGCGGCACTTGCAGTTGCGTTTTCATTTCAAATTGGCAATTCTTGGAATGAGGATAACGGGCGCTTCGCCACTTCGATGGGGTGAAACACTCGCTGCGACGGTTCGTCCACGACCTTTTACACGAAGTCTAGTTTATATTTTGGTTGAGTTCATCTCCGACGATGGTTACTCTTCATGTGGGAATCACTTAGTGGAGACAATGTTCTGTAAGTTTTCAGATTTATATTGGTTTATGTGTGTTTAGAAGCTTTGGATATGTGAGGCAGGCAACACCGATTGCAGTTTTTGCCTTTGCTATGCCACCATAAGTGTCGCGAGGTTGGAGGATCTGTACCCTTATTTAATAATTTAGTTGGCCCATGTGAGATTCCTCATGGCTTTTAAATACATGTACATTGTAAACGCGTAATTTCTGGTGCCTTGTGGTATCGTTTAGGCTACCATTCATGCATTTTTCTGTCAGAAAGTTAATGTAAATTTGTCATTACTTGTAAGTTCTCAAATCTCCCGTTGGTGGAGGCAGCAAGCGGGCTTGCGTTATAACTAATAGGCACAGTAATAAGATTTTTTACAAGAACTTGTAAGTCTTTAATCGGTTATTTAAATTACTCAGTATTTATGGCAGTACTCGAGTTAGAGTTTACCTGTAAGATGGTTTTTTGTATACTTTCAGTTACCCGCTGTTGCACACTACTCACAGTGCTTCGACTAAAAATAAATGCGTGTACGAGACATTTGCTAAGTGATCTTTTGACGTGATTCTTCCAATTATCAATGCCGACAGTGGCAAGTATAAACCCTACAATATAAATATGTATGGACTCGTAATGCCTATTTGCATTGAAAAAAACAGATGACTTCGAAAACAGTCCACATTTAAAATCATAGAGGATTTCTCGCAAACTCGGCTACACGCAAGCACAAGGTCGTAATTAAAATGTTAAAAATAGCCTTGTGTTGCCTCTGGTTTCTATAATAGTGCCGCGCTTCGCCATGTGTTAAATGATATTAAAACTATGTTTATTGATCGCTTTGTAACTTGTTTATGAACTTGGCTGTACATATAATGAGTATGTACTTTTTCGTATAATTTATTTATTTTATTTCTCATCTTAGTTTCACAACTGTATAATATACGTTTAATGCTCAATCAAAATCAACTTGCAACCTTGCCATCCTTCACGTACAGCCAACGCATAAGTGATTATAATTTGTCGATTCTTGTATACCTCAGATAATCTTATCGATTATAGCATTTATAAACTCATAGTCATATGATTCAGGCTTGCCCGTTTATATACTAATATTTTTGTTTTTTAGGGGTGGCAGACTTTGATGACCTGAGGGCTCTTTCGCCACACCAGGGGTTATATCTATCACATTATGTATTTGTAACCTTTCCATTCTAATATGTATCGTTGTATAACTGAATGTAAATATGTCTTGTGCACACATAAAATTATTTGAATCTTGAATCCTTGAAATCTGCCCCTATGTGATAATTTGTTACTGACGACGAAAAAAGAAAGACAATAATCGCGTTTAAAACTATGCTCATTAGAAAAAGCATTTAGTTTTACCTATACAGTAAATAAGCTAAAACAGCTAGTAGTACAGCATAAATTACAAAAAGTATTGACATAACAGAAACTACAATAATCGGCAAAGGATCTGTCATTAACATAATAAAAGAGACAATTTTTGAATAATTATTGTTGTTGTGCCCGTATCATTGCTCAAAAATTAGTGACACTATATAAATATCATGGAATCATCCTGCGATTGGTAAGACGGCCTACTTATTTTGGTATCCGTTTTAGTGATATCCACTACTATAGCCATAAGAATAAACTCTACGATATGGGCATAGGGACGCATAGCCTCCATGACCTCCATAACCGCCATAAGCCTCCACGTCCTGGTAGCCACCGTAACCGCCATAGCCTCCACGTCCGTAGCCACGTAACCGCCATAGCCTCGACGATCCGTAGCCACCGTAAAACCGCCATAGCCTCCCAGCGTCCGTAGCCACCGTAAACCGCCATAGCCTCACGTCCGTACACCGTAACCGCCATAGCCTCGCACGTCCGTAGCGCCACCGTAGCCTACATAAGCACCATAGCCTCCAAACCTCCATAGCCACATACGCCTCCTGACTCCATGACCACATTTTAGCCTGCCAGTGACCTCCATAGCCATCCATATCCTCCACGACCAATGCCGCCATAGCCTCCAAGGCCGCCATGGCCATAGCCTCATAGCTCCACCTGCCATAGCCTCCACCGCCATAGTCCTCCACCGCCATAGCCTCCATAACCTCCATAGCCGCCACCTCCGTAACTCCATATCCATGTAGCTCGTCCGCATAACTCCGGACGTGCCCACTAATATCTCAGATTGGGCCCAAGCTGTAAGCCACCATATCCACCGGGTATCGATTAATACCTGTCGCGACCCCGTAACCACCGCCTGAACCCAGGTATGGGTGAGGCTAACGGCCACCTTGAAAAAAACAAAATATTTGCAATTGCCTATCTTGAACACGCGCCGCAACGCAGAAAGAGAGCATAGATAGATACGCTAAGATGGATGATGGGTGGAATGGATAAATAAAGAGAGAGCAGAGAAGAGAGCTAGATGGATGGATCGGTGGATGGAAAATAAGAGAGAAAGAGAATAGAGAGCCTAGATGGATGGATGGGTGTGATAATGGATGAAAGTAAGAAGAGAGAGCCAGAGAAAGAGAAAGAGAGAGCAGAGAGAGAGAGAGGCAGAGAGAGCAGAGAGAGGAGAGACGCAGAGAGAGAGACGCAGAGAGAGAGAAAGAAAGAGAGAGAGAGAGAGAGAGAAGAAAGAGAGAGAGAGAGAAGAGAGAGAGAGAGAAGAAGAGAGAGAGAGAGAGAAGCAGAGCAAGAGGAGAGTAGAGGAGCGAGGGGGAGCACGAACAAGATAGACGTTTTAGATGATAAATGTATAAGTGAACGCGGTGCTGGGCTTTGGGTCGATGGAGTAGATATGGATGGATGGATAGATGGATAGATGGAATAGATAGAATAGATAGTTAGACGGATGAAAAGATGGATGGATGGATATGATGGATGGATTGGATGGATGGATGATGTAGGCTGTGATGGATGAGAAGAAAGAAAGGGAGGGAGAAATAGCAAGGTAGACAGCACGTGACCACGGGTTTAAAATTAATTATTATTAAAATAATCACGAGTAGATAGTAGTAGAGTAGTTATGGCTAGTAGTAAATACAATAAAAAATTTGTCATAAATGACGCATGAATTACAGTTTTCCCTACGCAAACGAAATCGCGCGGAACGGAAATTCATTAAAATATCTGCTCGAACTATTCAGAACACTTGAACAATGTCAGCAGTGTGTGGCCATAGATGCAGAGAGAGAGAGAGAGAGAGAGAGAGAGAGAAAGAGAGAGAGGAGAGAGAAGAGAGAGAGAGAGAGAAGAGACAGAGAGAGAGAGAGAGAGAGAGAGACGAGAGCAGAGAGAGAGGAGAGGAGAGAGAGAGAGAGAGAGAGAGAGAGAGAGAGGAGCAGAGAGAGATGAGAGAGAGAGAGCGCCGCGGGTATATATATATAATATATATATATATATATTATATATATATATAGAAAAGAGAGGAGAGAGAGAGAGAGATAGAGTAGAGAGATTAGAGAGAGAGAGAGAGAGAGAGAGAGAGAGAGAGAGAGAGAAAGAGAAGGAGAAAGTGTATGTGTGAGAGAGGCGAGAATATAGAGAGAGTGTGATAGAGCGAATGAGGGAGAAAGGGTGGGTGGGAGAGAGAGTTCTTATGATTATGATCATGATTATTAATAACTATTATAGCAATGTCATACCACATGCAACCTTTTGTTTCACACTTATGATAATAAGTACTGTTGCATTGATTAATGTGAATTGAAAAACCTATAAGCATTAAGTAAACTTACAATCGAAAGCACAATAAGGATCTTCATGGTCTGAAATTTGCAAGACACGTTATATTATTCGTTGGCAACACGCAAGAGAAAAGCAAGCCACTTACCTAATAGCTAATCGAATAGATAGAAATAATATTATTTGACATTCTGTCACCTAACATCGCACAGCGCAATATCACCTAGTGAGTGACTCGAGACCCCATCGTGTCAGTTAAAAACGAGTTGAACATCAAAATTAGCGTGATTGTCTAATCTGTAGCAATGTGCTAAATTTTGCTATTATAAGTATATATAACCCGCGACCGTGTACTCGACGTACATTCAGGTAAGCTTAGTAATTTTTGAGAGAAACTAGCGGTTGTTATAGAGTCGTTGCTTACGTAGGCCTTCATGTATAACAAACAAACAACATATAAGCTATACACATGGAAGCTACAGATTCTAGAATCATTGAAAGCGGGACGACTAATTGAATACTTGAATGTAATACTCTACATGATAAAACTGTCTACCGGTACGACAACTCACCTCTAGCTCCGTATAGCCTGGTATGCGACGGGCTGCAACGGCCTTAGCTATACTTATCTTATATACGATACTCATTGACACACTGACTTCAATACCGCACCACCTTTCACTCTTACCGACGTAATGTTAGAGTGACAATACATGAAATACTCGCCGCATACATTAGCGGATACGTGGGACGCATTGCAACATAGTCACGTACACCTAAGGATCGGTCATTTGTTAAGCATTTGTCTTCTGACTGACAATTGTCTCATTGAGTAACGTTGGCTATCCACCGGTATAATTAATGACCGCTACTGGACACAACCCGCTAAACAGAACCTTCACAGGCTCATCAAACGACCCGCTACAGTAATAACTTACGACAAATGTCGCTTTACTAAACCGTGTCTCGCACGAATCCCGTGCTACCAGGGGCGTAAATCCGTACCGAGGAGTTGGGGGGATGATCGGCGATAGCCGGGGGCGAAATTAACCTTGGCTGCCGCAGGCAGGCCCGCGTGCCGTAGGCATGCCAGTGCTAGGGGGGTCTGGGGGCATGCCCCCCAGAAAATTGTGAAATATTTAAGCCATTTTCCTCCAATCTGAGGCATACTGTGGGCCATATTCTCATGTCTGATGACACTATCTCAACCCTAGACTCAACCCTACAAGGATTCAAAACATTTTCATTACTTTTCAGAGAGCGTACACAG